ATTACTTATTTTGTCATTGCATTTTTCAGCATGAGGTAGGCTTTGCTCTTCTGATTTCTGTAGGGGTTTCAACCTCTAGTATATCCACAGGTTGTTGCAGATGTAATTTTGTGGACATAGGCACTTAAAATTCCTGTGGCAAGCAGGATTAAGAGAGGGACAGAGTGGAAAGCAGGGCTCTTGGGAAAGAGCCACTATCGTCAAGTTCATATCAGCGTGGATCGGATCACACGAAGCTTGCTTGTGAGTCCTCAGTCATGTTTAGAGAGCAGCAGTAGTCATTTGACAGAGTTTAGGTTAGTCTTCATATGGTTTCCAGTGCACACTGTCTCCGGATGGGCAGGAGAGCACTGTCATCCTCATGCATTGGCTGTCGCTGGTTAGGAGAGGGAGCCCTCAGAGCTCTCACTGATGCATCATAGAGAGCAGGAAGTCAAATGGCGCCAAACAGGCAGGGCTGTTTTCCTGAATTAAGTTAAGATTCTTAGATCAAAATTCTGTCCCCATATGAGCTCAGTGGTGAGAGCTGAGCCTGGGACTCAGGCCAAGGAAGAAGGGCCAGAAGGAACAGGTGAAGTAATTTAGTGGGACTTCCTGCAAAACACAACTATAGACTTTCAACCATGTTCTTCAATTTACCTAACTAATGTTTTCTCCATCCCCTGCTTTTAATTAATGATAATATCTTTAATCACATAATTATATCCTCATTCCATTGTCTTACTAGACTTGGGTGCCCATTAAGGGCAGGGTAACACTTCAGTTTCTTCTGCTGTGTTTTATTGACTAATTTGATGTAGTTGAAGCAAATGTACTGGGAACAGAATCCCCCAAACATAAAATTTTGCTGATGATATGCAACGGTTAACTATTTCTGGAGAGCTAGTAGGACTTTTTTGTGTACACCGTTTTTGACATAAATACGATCTTGTCAGAACCTGGAGGATGACTTGCTTGGTGCTGCTCACGTCCATTTAACTCATCTTGTGCCTACAAGCACAGACCACCATTATAACAAACATACTGAGGGAAATTTATTTCTCCAGGCAAGAAGCAATTTAATCGTGATAGGTCAGATGAACATCCTTTAAACAGAACATGGAGAGTTCTTTCTTTATACATCAACTCCTGCAAGGGGCTAAAATCCTGGTGTTGAGCAGCATCAAATCCCATTGATGCTGTAATCCAGAGCAAGGAGCGCACTGAGACTAGGCATTAAGGCTACTTGTAATTGGATTATCTGAAATGATTTTTTGCTCCTGGATTAATGTTAGAGGCTTTGGTCTAAGTTTAGACTTTGAGAAAAGGTTGATTAATTCACACCTTGTCTTTTTGTTCAGTTCTGACTTTTCTCTCATACCGATCCGCTGTTCTAATTTCACTGCATTATCAGTATCATGCCATCTGGCCAGAGGGCAGCTCTTTTCTTCAGAGACATTTTAGACTAAGGACTCTTCTAAGCATCCTGGGCACAGGGAGGACAGAATGTTGAACTTCTGGGGGCTCCTTATATTCCCAAAGAAGCAATGATAAAGAAGAGGGCTGTGGGAAGTCCAGCATTTGAAATCCAATTTCCAGTTCTGTTACAGACCACCAGTGTGACGAGTGGAGCAGATTCTACCTTGGCACAACAGAAATAAGCCAAGGCTACAATAGGGAGTAGATTAAGCCTTTTCATTTTTATGCATAAAGAAATTTCCACCTTGTTAACAGAAGCGTACACCTCGGTTCCTGCACCCACATCTGACGTTCCTGACGAGGCCAGGCTTGGCTCAGCTCAGCACTGTGGCTAGCCCTTCCTGGCTGATGCTGGCTGGAGGTTGTACCCACTGCTGTTGGCATTCGCACCAATGGCCCTTTCCGCAGTGTGCCTCACAGAGGACTGCTGTATGGAGTCAGTGCCAGCAGGCTACAGAAGCCTCCCAGCCCCTTGCTTGGAGTTTTGTGACCCTTTCACAATAGCTCACCTTCCAGCAGAGATACTTGCTTGTGTTCATTGTGGAGCATTGTGCGACACTGAGGAATCTCCCTTTCCAAATGCCTGCGTTCAGGGTCTGTTCCTGGGATCAGCGGTGTGAGCAGGCCTGAATCTGTTGGTTGGGCTCCTGCTACCTTTGGCCTTTGCCTTACCACCAGCACCAGGAGTGTCAGCTGTTGCTCTCCCTGCAGTCGTGCTGCCGTGTGTGCGTGTACCTGGCTTTTGATGGATTCCTCCCATCAGGAGTAGCTACGTAAGCATTTCCCTCTGAAATCGGCCCATTCTGAAAGACGCTCAATGAAATATGCTCTATCAGATTTTTTCCCTGCAGGCTGTTCGTGGCAATGCACCATCCTGAATTGTGTGAGCAAGTAGAAAGGACCCTGCTTAACAGCATGCCACAAAACTGCTCGTCTGTGCTCATCTGAACCAACAGCCACTAGATTAATTTCTTCCAGTCCTTTCCCATCTTCCAGTTTCACCTTTTTATTGCCATCAGTATTCAGGGTCTCCTCTGTCCAATGCCTCGTTGTCATTTGGTCTGCAACTGGCTTTCACTGATGGCATGATTTCACTGCAGATCTTTACCATAATTAGCGTTTGGGGTTTCTTTTTTTCTGAGGATCTGATGAGAATCTAAAGGTTTTTGTTTTTTTTTTTTTTTTTCCAGAGAGTGAAGCTCTAGTTTTGTTACTGCAGAAAACTGGAAGTTGCAACTGAAAGTTGCCTGAAGGTTGAAAACTAGAAGGCAAACATTCAGAATATATGGAGTGTTTTTATAAGCATATTAATTTTCAAGCCAGTTTCACTGTTTCCAGGCCTAACCAGAGATTTTTGAATGCTTGGGGTAGGCAGAACTATGCAAACAATATCTCTTTCAAACCACTTGCACATCCACAAGCTTCTCGTTGGCTCTGCGAAAACACTACTATTTCTCCTTCAGATGATATCACGTAATATTATCCATGCAAGGTTAATGCCCCAGCTTGATCTGTGTCATGCAATGCACCAGTTTTGTTTTTGTCTTGCTACTCTGTTCTTTACCTGGTAGCTGAAATACTTCAGGTCTCTGTGCTTGCGTTGCTATTTTCCCCTGATCTTCAAGTGTGCTCAGATTGGTGCTCAACGCTTATCTCTGCCATTGTTGGCTTTTCTCCTTGCTCGTTTCTCTGTAACATGATAAAATTTCATCTGCAGAGGTTTTCTGCTAGGACTTCTGCACTTAGTAACTATGGGCCAAGTTGTCTTTTAAAATTTCCCCCATCGCTTTTTCAATTTGACATCTCCTGCAACCTTAGCATTTATTTCTATTGCTTCCCCTGATTCGGGACTTTTGATTAGGCAATACATGCTGGGTTATCCATCATTTCATGCCAGTCACGGGTTATATGGTGCTTCTCAGCCTACGAGGCCTAGATCATTCTTAATCAGCTGAAGTGAGCAGTAGGTAAAAGAGCTGAAGACCTGATTTCCATTGCTGTCCCCTTGCGATCCTGTCTAAGACTGCGGAATTAAGGCAGGGCCATTGTAAGCGCCGTGTAACACTGTGCTGAGTGGCTGATTAAAAACCTGCAAAGCCTAGATGGTTTCACAAAAGTCTTGTCAGTCAGCTTTGGTTTGATCTCAGGTCTTACTTTCATTTATTTACAGTATTGCCCATTACATGTAGAGTATTTGCTGAACACTGAAGAATAATGGTCCTGTCACACGTAGCTGGCAGCAAAAGAACTGACAAAGGGAAGGAATGCAGCAAATGAAGTAATTTATGTATGAGTCACACTTCCCAGCCAGCTGTGCTGATAAAAAATGGCCGGTTTTATGGGAAGATTGGAAAACAGCAACAACAAAATTACCTTTGTGAAAAAAATACAAAATATTTGGATCAGCACTTTGATTTAAACATGACTTATTGCTGACAGCACAGGAAAGGTAGTCCTGAAGAGGTATTTAAATTTATCAGACGTAGGCCTCTGTAGGGTAAGATGATCTTGGCATAGACGCCTACACCTAACAAGATACGGAGACAGTGGCAGGAGATCCTACCTACCGCGCAGTAAAAGCTGATGAGGGAACAGGAAGACAGGAGATACTAAGTGTGAGATAAGAAAATTTATAAGGCAGGGGTGGAGTTATGAGCTGATGTCTTCTGTGAGGGCAGATGGTGAGTCAGGAAAGGAAGAGATTGGAAGTAGTTTTCCATCAAATTGTTAAGTGGTCCATATCCACGTAATGCAGGGGTTTTCTGTAGGGCAAAAAGGTTTGTGTTTTCACTACCGGCCTGTGACTTGGAGCCTGACTTTGCTTTACTTAGAGGCAATGACAAGCTCTTATTGATTCGTGGAAACCTTAGAAATCAAAGAAAACTTGCTGTGGCAACCAGCTAATTCAATAAGAGCATTGATTTCTCCAGCTGGGCAATTAAAGAGCGTAAATGCAGCGTAGCTGATTTCTGTCTCCGAATTAATGTAACAAATGGTCGTTGATTCAAGTGAAAGGAAACTATAGCCTAACTAAAAAGTCCTTCTGTATTAAAAATCCTCCAGTCTATGAGTATTGGTCTTTAACGTGCCACGGATAGAGCTAGTTACAATCCACTGGCAACCCCTTGACCTGCGTTTCCCTACGTGCCTGTCACATGGTCGTAGAGCACCCTTCGGTTCTGCATTGACAGCCATGGCGCAGTTTGGGATTGGTCTGAAACATTGACTGTATCGTGCTGGCGTTCGTATGGTGAGTTTGAGAGTCACTCTATTGGACTATGACTCCAAGTATACTCAGAGCGAAAGACAGCTTAGAGCCGTGCTTGTTATACTTGGCACAGTTGACTTATCTGCGCTTGTTGTTTATTGTAAAACAACATTGATTGTCGTGTTCATACTCTTCTTCCTTTAATTCTCCAACAGCTGTGAGAGGGTTTCCCTCAGTCACAACAGAGGTACCGGTCTGTAAATTGCTTCAGCCACTTCCAAAAAGAGGAGAGAGAAAAATCTCTGTGTCGTCTTTGTCTTTCTTTCATATGCAGGTCCTGCTTTCTCATGGACATTGAAATCAAATACCACATCTGCATCCCCGCTTAAGTTAATGGGAGCAGGCACCTGGATACCTTTGTCCCAGGGCAAATGTGAAGGTAACTCATTTCCACTTTTTGCAGTGTCCATCTGTGTTGGTTAGCAGGACTCAGGGGTTAGTTGATTGGGTCATCCTCACCTCGCAGAGCAACCAAGGTGGAGGCAAACAGGGAGAGGGAAAACATGAGGCGACTCTGGAGCCATAGCACTGGGGAGATTTTGACTAAGGAATAAACAGAGACGCTCTCCAGTCTCTTGACCATGCCACGCCCCTCCCTCTTCAGAACGGCTGGTGGGAGCATCTCATAGCATCAGATGAATGGCACTAGTTTTCTTCTAGGTTCAAGGCAGCTTCTGTTTTCCCACAACAGGGGAGATGCTTTGAGCCTCTCACTGAGGGCATGACACAGGAACTTCTCAAAGTAAACAAGGTAGCTGAGAATGGGCCCCAGTATTCTCTGGGCCCCATGGCAGTTGTGGACATGTTAGCTATAGCTTTATGCTTAGCTGCACAGACTCAGGAGTCACTAGGTGATGAATGCTTTCACAGGCAACTGGTTTGCAGCTATTGATTCATGAGCTCCTTTTGCTAAGTTGCCTGTTAAGATTAGCTTTAATGGTCTCGTGGCACGTGACTATAACCTGAACTAACTGCACCTAGAGGCTCTGCCACAGAAGCCCTGGCAGATGAGGCTGCAGGGGTCTCGGCTGCTGACATGCCCGGCTGCCAAGAGTGACTAGCCTTGCAGCAGGAGGAGCAGCAGGGAGCATGTCTTAGTACCCCAAACTCCTAGTTTGCAGGCTGGCTAGTATGTGTAGGCTGCCAGTGGAGGTGGGTGCGTGGATGTATGCTACGGCACAGGGACAGAGGCACAGTTGCTTCTGCTGTTCCCTGCTAGGGACTGGCAACCTGGAGCGCAGGGGCAGGATGGGCAGTGATGTGTAAACAGCTATGGTTGTTTGTGTCAGCGCGTAAGAGTCAGGGCACTGACCTGGGGAACGTCTCATTTTCCACATTGACCCCTGGGCTTTGATGTAGAGTGGACCTGCCTCAGTAACAGACAGGACATCCCAACACATGCTGACCTGCCAGAGATATCCTCTCCTATCATCACCTTGCAACAGTAGGCCACTGCTTTTGTGCTTGGAGCCTTTTTCTTCAGTACCCCCAGCTGCAGTAGAGATATTCTGAGAGGGCCTAGAAGACACGACGGTCCTTGAATCTGCTCTTCATCACAGGAGCAGGACTTAACAAGAGGCATGAAAAGAGTTGTGGAAATGCACTCATCTTTGGGCAGCTGAGCTATAAGGGAATGAGAAATGGACAGTAGGATGCCAAATGCTAGAGGGGAGGAGGAATATTCTGATCAGTCAACAGGGTAGAAGTCAAGCTGCTTTACAACATAACCTGATAGAAAGTGGCTGTTAGGAAAATGTATCTACTAAAAGGTCAGGTGTGGTCTTGCATTCTGGACTGACACTTGCACAGACTGGTAAATGATACATAATGAATACCTTATTAGGTTAATTTTGTCTATTTGGGGTCATCATGAATAGCCCATTAGAAAATAGTTTTCTCAGAGGATGCCAAATTGCTGGTTGTTATTATTTCTGCAAATAATACTGAGTCCGTAACTTGCTTGAGAGCAGGTTATTGCGATGTTCCTTGGTCAAAATTGGAATGTTAGCTGAATAGATAGCTACTCAGTGTGTTTCTCTTCACTGAGTGTGGAAGCATAACTCTTAGAATCAAGTTTCTCATGTGCAAAGGGCAGAGGGATGATCACAAGCTCAGTTTCGCTGCCCCAAAGTGACATCTGCAAAGTATGTGGTCTTTCTGATGTCTTTGTGTTTTTGGAGTTTATATTTTCCGGTATTTCTTTGCAGTTGGTAGGGCCGGAAATGGATCTTTTGCTTTAAGGAAAGACAATATTCTCACTTATACACTAGATCCCAGAACCAGGAACATTAGGGAGAAAATGAAATATCCTGAGAGCACTGGACCACAAATGTTCAATCAGGGTAACACACTGGATTTGTTCCCAGTGAGCTGTCAGTGAGCCTTCCTGCTGGAAGTGTAGAGTACTTGCTGAAGAGCACCGCAAGGAGTGCAAAACAGACTTATTTAAAAATTCAGATACATATTTACAAACATAGAACTTTTTCCCCAGTAGGAAAATAGCCCCACTCTTGGAGCTGCTGGTAACTGTCACAGAAGGTTTTTTGTTTCCTGGCCAAAAGTACCATAGGCAACAGTGGTACATTCAAGAGAGCTTTGATGCAGAATGTTCAAAAACATGTTTTCTGTCCCCTCTCCAAAGCCTGTCCCCCAGAAACCTTCCTTGACCTCTTGCGAGTATGAAACAGTTCTGTGTAGGCTTTGATGCTCTTATTTTCATAAGATTCATCCGTGTCCTCCCCACATGTATCTGTGCCAAGCAGACTGCTGAAAAGATACCAGCAGTGCTTTGGGTTGTGAGTGGATTTTGATTATTAATAAGATGGTCAGGGAGAATGAAACTATTTCATGTCTTGTCAAAGCAGCGCAAGTAGGATGCTTCTTTTATGAGACTTGCTGCTGCTTCTTTCTCCTCTAGATCATTTCTTTCATGTGCCTGAACGGGACTGAGGTGATAGTCTGCTTCATAAAGAACTGTAGCAGCATGGGAAACAGCTTAAGCAGTAGTTTACAAGCAGCAAAGAGAAAGCTCAGAGATAGAATGGAAAAGAGCAGAAAAAACCTGATTGCAATATTTTAAGTTAAATTCCCACTACCTTCCAAGTGGGTATTTCAATATGAGTACATTAAATTCACATGTTACTCAACAGCCAGGGCTATTTAGCAATAAAGACCTCTGGCACTGAAAGAGAACTCAAAACAAATCTTTCCAGTGAGCAATAAAACGCAAGGAGTGTCATGCTGAAGATCACTGGGTCGCGTAGCTTGTTAAAGTAAGAGGCTGGAGGCTGGTTTGTGCAATCCGTGCAAGTGATGATGTCCTATGACACACTCACTGTCATAGATAACTGCCTTGGAGATTAAAATAAAATTAAATATAGTCCTACAAATGCAGTTCTGTAGCCACAGTAAATTAAATTGCACGCACACATAGGGAGAACATTAGGGCTTTTGATACTTGATCCAGGCTACATTTGAAATTGGTTTTATAGCCTTTGATTGTTCTCTGTGGAGGAAAATAACTGCAAGCAATGCTTGTTGTGCTCCCTGGAAAATAAGGAAAAAAAAGAATTGAAGCCAATGCATGCAACAGAGTCCTGTCTGAAAGATCCCAACTTCCAGTCCAGGGCAAAGGAAGAAGGCAGTGCAGGGTTTTTCACATGTTTTTTCATTTAAAAAGGAGAAGATGCCAGGCTCCACAGCTTTCCAGAGATTTGAATGAGATTATTCTAACTAATGATTATGTTAAGGTTTGACTTCTCTGAAGCTTTGCATTGCACCCACAGTATGCAAAGTGTCTTCCTGACATCAAGGAGAGGCTTCTGCCTCACACACACTGGAGCCCCAGTCCTGCAAGGATGCAATCACAGGCTTTTCTTCCCATAAAGGGGTAGGTGTTCTGCATTAAAATTGTGATTGTGGCGTTAAGCAAGTGTATAAAAGTGTGCAGAAGTGGAGCTTTGGGATAATAAGGATTATGAGTCTCAAGATGGTCTCTTCTGGCTGTTTTGCAGGCAAACGGGAGTTTGTCCTGCCTTTACTCCAAGGTGAACTCCAACTTTGCAAATGGGTCCATCATTAGTTGACACACTGTGCCTCTCACCATGACTGCATTTGCATTGTTTCTGCTCAGCGCAGAGCAGTAGGAGAGGTCACATCTGTACTGCTGATCATGACTGAACTACCCAGCTCTTGGGTGGGAGTCCCAGCTTGGGCATGTCTTCTGCAGCAGAGAGGCAGCGTTGCTGGGAGAGTGACTCAGTGCACCTAACTGGCTGCATGCAAGGAAATGATGTATGAAGCCCTCTGCCCTGAGAAGGCCCCAGAATCCATTTGGACCAGTTCTAAGAAATCGTCTCAAAGTTGCATTAGTATATGGGACTGACTGAGTCTCTGTAAGTTACTAGTGGTGCAGGAATGCAGTGTTTTACATTAATGGAGCCCCCAGGCCCTTGCCTGTCTCAAAATGACGAGTTCTTCTGGGCAGCCTCTGTGCCCAAGGCAATGTGAAAATAGTCACGCAACGTAGACTCGTTTGGAATATTTTATTCCATTGCTAATCTTTGCCAAATTAATCTGTGCTTAGCTTGCTTCCATGTAGAAAGCAGGAGACAGGGTTTTGGTTCTGGCTACAGGAAACCCACTAAGTGGGGGAAGTCATTATGCGAGCCAATGTCTAGATGTCACAGACTCTTTAAGATTGCTGTTCTTATGTTGGGAGGAAAATTTTTCTTTAACTGTATGAGAGATGGTTGATATGTTCATTGACGGTTTCTGCTATTACATGTTATGTTATTGGCGTGCTCTAGGTTTCTTCATAGAAGTTAAACAGCCTGAGATGGGGAGAAAGTTAATGCCTTACTATGCCATCTGACTGACACTGAATATTTTCTCCGCATTTATGCTCTGATTTAACTTCGAGGAAGAAGCTTTTTCCCAGATAAATTTCACAATCCCATTTTCCCCTCAGAGTTCCTTACTGCTGTCTTTGAAGTATCAAAACTTGGCGCTACTGGAGAGAGTCCAGCGGAGGGCTACCAAGATGATTAGAAGGCTGGAGCACCTCTCCTATGAAGAAAGACTGCAAGAGCTGGGCCTGTTCAGCCTGGAGAAGAGAAGATTGAGAGGCGATCTCATCGACGTGTCCAAGTATCTGAAGGGGGAGTGTCAAGAGGATTTTGAGGCCCAGCCTCTTCTCTGTGGTGCCCAGCCACAGGACAAGAGGCAATGGGCAGAAACTGAACCACAGGCAGTTCCATCTGAAGCTGAGGACAAACTTCTTCACTGTGAGGGTGACAGAGCATTGGACCAGGTTGCCCAGAGAGGTAGTGGAGTCTCCTTCGCTGGAGATATCCAAAACCTGTCTGGACGTGATCCTGGGCAACGTGCTCTAGAGGTCCCTGCTTGGGCAGGGAGGTTGGACTAGATGATCTCCAGAGGTCCCTTCCAACCCAAACGATTCTGTGATTCTGTGAAAATGGCGCAAAGCGAGACTTGTTCACCATTTCTAGTGAGAAATATGTATACTTGTTACAGTCTACATTGACAGTAGTTTTGGAAGAGAAGGCATCAGCTAGCTCTTGTCGAAGGGTTATATAGATTAGTCTCAATGGAGAGTGAACACTTTCATGATTTTTCTTCCTCAAGCAGACATCTGGTGCTACTTCTGTCTTCTTGGAGGCAATGACTCTTGCTTCCAGTACATCTTCAAATATCTTGTTATTAAGTAATTAGAGAATGATTTTAAAAAGCATTTTGACTGTGAAGAGCCCCAGTTATTATTTTTTCTGCTACCTGCTGGCAGTGGAGAGGAAGACGCTGATGAGTCCTGCCTTGATGTTTGCTGAAACAAACTGTAGAAAAAGGGCAGACCTGTGGACTCTAAATAATGGGACTATCTGTAAATAATGAGACTCTTCAGGGCCCTTTGTAGACAGATTGTGAATTCCTGATGAAACGTGTTATTCATCTTCACGCACAGGGCACAGTGTCTGTCCTGTGGTTCTGTCTTAGCATTGGTCTAGCTACATATCAAGGCTATATATTTCTTACAGAACATACTTCTTAATGTGCTCATTGTAATGATGTCCAAAAGGACACTTTTTTTTTTTTAATCATTTCAGAGTTTTTCCAGCCAGAAATTTTGTTTGGGCAAGAGAAAAACAAGATGCAACAAATAAGGTCATTTGGTTGGGATTTCTAGACATCCAGACTGCAGGTGACCTGCATTCTGGCCCAGTTCTGCAGCTAGGTAGCTGCAAAACCCAGCAAGTCACTTGGGTTGTACTGTCTCCCAGGCTGATTAACTGATCCTCAAGATGAGGCACATTTCCTCACCCACTGAGTGACGATAGCCCGTCTCCAAGACCTTCTCCCTTTCCATCTCCCATCGTATGAGTTAGAGGCTCAAAACCACTTTTAGGACATCTGTCTTCTGTCAGTGACCTAAAGAGGGAACAGGGTTATTTAACCTTTGCCTTGCTATTGCCTGAGGAGCTGTCAAAAGCATCTTCTAAAGGGGAACAAGCCCTTCATGGCTTCTGTCTGTACTCCTCCATCACCTGCAGTGCTTGTATGAGAGTATTTCCACATATATTTTTCTTTTACAGCAAGCAAGTTCCCAGCTATGGGAGGTTAACAAGCTGCTTGTGTAACTTATCATTACTCATCAGCACATCCCATACTCATTTGGATCTCAGGGTGTGGCTTTAATTAGCCAACTCCATAATAACACCCAGGTGATATGGTGATGGAGTGACACCCTAGAAACCTTCTAAATAGGAGTGTAGTAACCCTGTGTCTTTGGTATAGTCTCTCAGATTGTTGTTTGTCCATCCTTCCTATATAGCTTTCAAGTCCATTGGCTGTTTTCAGCCAGGTTGTGTTAATGGATTGATCCCACAGAAATGATTCAAGCTCCTAGACCTTTCGTAGAAATGTGCACCCAGATGGAAGAGAAAGAGCAGTTTAAGTACCTGGACTGAGAAACTTGCTCTTGTTTAGATAGCAGAAAATCCACAGGAGAAGAAGAATATGTGAATGCCCCAGCTACAGGAAAAACTGTTCTCAGGACTCAGTTATTCAGTCTGAGCAACCTGGAAGATAAGTAGGTGTTTTATTACCCCATAATAAATTTAGTCCCTGCTTTTCTGTAGCTACTTTTAAGGCCTGTCTCTTATCTCAGAAGCTTAGTGATGTCCTTCAGTTTGCTGGGCTTCTGTGGTCTTTAGCATGTGTCAACCAAATGTCACTGTTTTTTGCTGAAGCTGTCTGGGGCTTTGAAGTGGTCTGCCATCAAGGTGTGTGTTCAGCCAAGAACATTATAGTGTTTGATATCAGATACAGTCAGGCTAGTATAACCACGTGCTCTATGCTGCTTGGAGTTAAGCAAAGCGTTCCTTTGGTTGTCTTCATTTCAGTGAACAGGGTTCGTAGTCTGGTTGCATGTTTTTTGAATAGCTCAATAAAGTCAAGTGCTTCCTCTGTACAAGTTTGTCTTTTGCTTTGCCTCTGTTTTGGTGGGTTTTCATTTGACTTATTTTTCAGTGATGTCCTGGGATCCGCACTAGTAAGTCCTTTTCTACATTCATGCACTCAAGACCATCAAATACTTTCTTTAAGGATGTCTTGCCCCTTGTTCTGCAGGTAAGTTAGCTGTTTGGTCATCTGCATTTATCCATGCTCAACCCAAACACGTTTAGGTCTTCCTGCCTGCTATTTCAGACTCTTTTGAGGGCTGCCTGCCTCTATATAAGCATGCTTGCAATTTGGTCTCATTTTTGAACTGATGAAGCAACCTGTGCTTTCTTTCTCAGTTCTGGTGATCACTGCTCAGTTGATGTTGGCTTCACTTAGTGTTGTGAAGCAGTATGTATCAGGAAATACACTCTTGGTGTTATTTCTTTTCACTCTCTCAAGCCAGTCAGCTGTGAGGCCAATCCTGCATTTATTGTGGAATAAAGAAAAAAACTTTCTTTTCTAAATCCACATGATTGGAGGTTTATATTCCATTATGTGCAGATGACTATAGTTAATTTTTAACTTAATACAATTTGCATCTTTCAGAAAACAGCTGTTTCCATGTCATGTATAATAGCACACCCATGATACAACTGTTGTCATAAACACATCTGGCCTCTGCTGTTTCCTTATCCTTGCAGTCTGTCTTTGCCTTTCAATTTTTTTTTTTTTTTTTTTTTTTGGCAGCTTTGCTGACTCTTTCGTTTGAGAATCGCTGTTATCCTAGGCCTTGGAAATACCCATTGTTCTTTGCAAAGTCAAATCCATTTTTTCACAGTAACCTTGCATTGACCTTGTTATCAGTCTTACCATAAATAGTGTGATCTCTAATTAGTCCATCTGTCAGCTGTCCAGATTCATGTGACAGGACAAGAGTGTTGCCATGCAGATTGGAAACCAGCTGAATGCACAGAGAATTATAAATGAGAAATATCAGAGGATCTGGATGCTGGTAGCTGTCTAATGTCTTGTTGCAGGGCTTGGCATTAGATCTGGTCTGAACATTGTTAATAATCTGGAAGAGAGGTTAAAGGACATACTAATGAAACTTCCACTAATATCATCTGCTTGCTGTTACAAAGCAATGCTCTTGAGCAAAGTTTGCATTGAAATGGGTGTGCCAGTTGTTACATCAGGTAATACCCACTTGCAAGCCATGGGATCCAGTGGGCTTGGGTGGAATGCAAGCTAGACTCTGGCTCTAAGAATAAGGATTGCGAGAACGGGATTTAGTAAAGGAGGCGCTACGCGTACCTGACTGAGCACAACAGTGCCCAAGTTAGTGGGATGGGCTTGGACGCACACCCTGAAGAGTTATTCATTGCCAGGCGTATTTGATCGGGGCGGGGTGGGGGGAAGCTGAAATCGAAGAGGTGCATGGCTCTGCTGGTGAACTTTGATTCCACCAGGGAGAGACTAAACTGAGATTATTGGTGGCTGCCAGGATCTAGCAGGAGTAATTACTTTCTCTGTCCGTTACTTGTGCCCACAGCTCCTTTCTGACTAACCTTCATTCCTGATGGAGCCAGTCCTGTGTGGACGGTATCACGGGTGTTTTGTAACTGGTTGAAATGGGGCAGTGTGAAGCCTGCGAGCAGCCCATAGCCAGATAGATGTTTGAGGGCACCTCATAAATAAAGGTCTCAGCTGCTGGGTGTGGTGGGAAATGATTCATGTAGCTGTAGCTTTGCTAGCACCAGATGTAGATGAAGGTGGCCTTAGGAGCAGATGAGTAGGGTAAAAGGCTGGCTACTCTACACTGTCCTTTTGAACAGAGGCACCTTGGCCTTAAAGCCAAAAGTTGCATTTCCCTACTTGCTCACTATTGGCCTAAAGTTATTCCCACGTAAGCTGTTGACATAAGAGGAAAGGACCAATGATGAGCTCTTCTGAAAATCCTATCCCAAAGTGTTCAGACTGGGGTGCCTGTAGTTCACTTGCAGAAAGCTCAGAAGTTTTGCTCTTTGTGTTTAACTGCTTTTGTTTAAGAGTATCCCAAAACTTGCACTTGGTTTGAGGGCTCATTCCTAGGAACAGGGCTGCTCTGTGGCAGTGAGCACTCATTATCCAAGGGCTGTGGGCCAAAAATCATCAATGCAGTTCTCTTTGAACTCTCTGGATTGGGTACTGTGTGACAGCGTCTTTGTATTTCAGAGCTAACTGATGGCTGTGGATTACTGGAGAACAAACTGCTTCTAAGAGGGACGGTCTCGCAAATTCTAGTTAAAAATAGAAAAAAAAATCACCAAAACATTTTAGAAATGTCTTTGCTGGTAGCAGAGTGGAACTATGGTGGTGTCAGATCACCTGCAGATCCCAAACTGGCTAACAATACTGCTGTACATCTTATGAAATTTTCTGAGGAATCTGTTTTGTTTGTTTTGTTTGTTTGTGTTTTTCAACAAAAGCTGAACAAGTGTGCCTGTTCAGGTGTCTAATGTTAAGCACTCAGGAAAAGTGGGGAAATGTACGTTTCCAGGCTCCTGCCATGCCTTTGGAAGGAATTTGGAGCTACCCAGAGAGTGTATGTGATCATGCGCTGAGGAATGCTGTGGGCTGCACAACACAAGTCTCTTTTTATCACTTAGCAAGTGGTGTTCCAGTTAGCACAAGGCTCTTACGCCCTTTCAGCATCATCCAGCACTGTGCACTGTATTGCCTAATGCCATCAAATCCCCAGGCAACTGCTCCTCCTATCTGTGAGGAAGGCAGTGTTTTAAGCTGACTGTAGAATTAACTTTTGCCTTCCTCGGTGCTGCAAGGGCGTGTGATACTCTTTGATTTTGGTTCCTAGCCATTCTGGTTTCAGGGGATCCCCAAACTCTCTCACCTGGTTTGAAGGCCTGCCCTTTGATAGAAGGCTAGTCTGTGAAAATGAACAGCTGCCAAAGGGCTTGGAGCTAAAAACTAGCAGTGTAATTCCCCTTACATGAATGCTTTTCTTGCTCTGTTCTGCTTCTGTCTCTCTGTTTGGTAGAAATGGTGACATTTGTCTTTTGTAGCACGTACCAAGCGTACATGACATTGGCATTGGAGTCTAACAGGACGCAAGTGAGCAGATAGGTCTGCTTAGTGTTGGCCTGTGAATGCCCAACAACTTGCAGATTGGATTGTGGAGTCAAAAGCCTACTTTCAGTAGTCCTCTGCCTGGCTTGGTTTGCGTATAAGAGACCACGGCTGAAGTCTACGCTCATCTCTGAGCTTTCCATGGAGAGACAGTAAAACATTTGGTTTATGTTAACCTGCACAGACGATGAGCAGAGTCCGTCTGCGTGGTCTTGCCTTGTTAGTGAGCTGAGTTTGGTAACTAAAGATACTACGAACTGTGTAAGAGGAAAGAACCAAATTCAGAATCCTGCCTCTTCATGAGTCACAGCATTACTGCATCTCTCCCCTTGCAGGTCTCCTTCAGTTCATTCTGTTTAGTGTCTCTTCTTCTAGCATGATAGTTTTTCTGGTTATGCTTCTTCACTCACTGCTAGTGTGATGTCTCCTCCTCTGGGCCCCTGAGGGCACCTAACCACGGTCCACCTGTGTACCTCTGATGTCTCTGCTATGGTTTAGTTGCAGAATGCACAAATACTGCAAGATTAGTGTTTTGTCCTTGGGTTTTTTTTTTTTTTCCCCATAGCCAACAGAGCAGGTTTTTTTTATTAAAGTGCCTCTTTCAAGAGAGTAAATATTCTGCCTGACAGATTTTCTCCAGCCCCCCGCCCTGTGCCAAGAGTGTTAATAAGACAACAGCCATGTATGGCGTTCTTAGCTTTCCGTTTTGCGGACTGCTGTTTTCACTGAGCAGCTAGTGAAACATTAATTATGAGACTGGCTGTTTCTTCTCATTCTCCCAGTGTATTAAATCTGGAGAGAGCCCCCTGCACCCCCGGTGTGGCCCTGTGCAGCAGTCATTCCAAAGGATTGACCTATTCATGGATCCCTTTGTCCCTCCCTTTCGCAGCATGGTGCTGCTGCCTGTGGCACACACAAATAATTGCTCAGCACTGCAGGATGCTGAGCACTCTGGCCCTGCTACAGCAGAACCCATAAGGACATGCCCTCCTTCAAAGCACGTTTCCAGTGCTCTTGCTGATCATTCGGTCATTGGCTTCGTGCTCTTCTGTTCCCAATTCTGTCTTATATCACTTCCCAAGCTTTCACTCCTCTTAGAGGTAACGAGGCAAACCTGGGAAGCTGGATATATTCATTTTTGCTCAAGCAGAAATTTCCCGAACTGAATGAGCATCCCAAGGAAAGGACTCAGAGTTTGTGAATTCTTGGTGCAGGGAGAGTCTTTTTGCCCTGAACTCTGCAGCCCCCAGCGTGGTGTTGTCATGGGCTATAGCCACTCTTGTAGTATAAATGATGATCCGTGTCTCTAAAGGCCTGCTTTGGATAAGTACACATTTCAGAGCTCCCATGAGGGTTCCTTCGGCTCCATATTCACAGGAGGTTCTGCTTTTCTTCCCTGTGAGCTGAACCAACAATTTGCACTTCAGCCCAGAAGAGGTGAAACTTGCTTCTTCATCTATTGACTAAAGTAAATAAGAATCCCCTATGAGAAGGGAGAGCTTAGCCCTTCCATCCTCTCCCCCTCTTCTTATATGCACGTTAGGATCGTCTCTGGGACATCTGTCCGCTCTGGTCACATAGTCTACAAGTGGCTGTGTAGTTGCATGTAGCTTCCTGTGCCAGCTGCAGGAATTGTCATGTAAAAGAATTAGAAAGCAAAAAGATACAATGGCTTAATAAAGTTCTCATCTTGTGTTCTCTAGCTGGAACAGTATGGCACTTGGGGAGTTGAGTGCAGGCACTCTGAGAGCAGTTGACATTGAGTTATTCTGGTTTCATAGTAGTGAACTCGAACAAATTACCCTTTGGGTACCTCCCAAGGGGAATGTTTGTTGACTCAGTTCACAAAGGAAGTAAGGATGTGCATTTGCTTGGGGAAATTATTATCCAAATCACAGTGTTCTTTTGAAACAGTTGTTGGACTGAATACTAAAAAGCAGCAATCAGATGCTTGCCTCAAAAGACCTTGGCAAAGCACTGAATGGTGAAATCATAAATTTCATCTAACCTACCCCTTCAGAGCAAAATTATCTGTTTTGGAAGTTTTTTTCAGCCCTGGA